CAAACCGTCTTTCTTCATATCTCTTTTTTATGAATGAGGATGTAACTTTTGAAATTGTAGAAAAGACATTATCAGTGAGTCATATTGTTTGTTTTGTTTATCTCTGAATGTTTAGTATCATCAATTTCCTTCCTAATCATTTATTATTCAAACATTTTTTAAAAACATTTGCCTATAATTTCAATCTTTTATCTTTTTCTTATTTATTGACTGTAACATAACATTTTTCTTTTGATGAGGACATATGTTCAAATTTGTCAGAAAAGTGTTTCAAGTCATAATATTTTTTTTGGTGGGAGTGGGAGTCAGAATAGTCAATTTTTTAATAGAAAAAAAATGTTCCAATATATTTGATGATAATTTTATATTTTTATTCTTTTTTTATTTATTTATTGATTTCTATTATTATAATTTAATATATATATAATAATATCTCTTAAAGTGGTAAATTTGATGACTAACTGTTCATGCTGACATCCAATGTAAAATACATGTGTGGGCATAGGGGTCTCTGGATAGATGTAGTACCTTTGATGTGAGGCATGGGAGAGTAATGGATAGTGGCTCAGATTGAGGAATCGGAGAGCAGAGTTCGAATCCCAGTTGAATCCATTACATTCACTTACATGCTAATACCCTTGGGAAAGGTATGAATCCTCTTCTTCTCACCCCAGCTATGGGTAAATAGCAGAAGAGACCGGGTTCTATAGCCTTGGCTGGCAACTGGTCTACCTCAGAAAGAAATGGCAACCTACTGCAGGAAAAAATCTGCCTCATCAGTTATGTATTGAAAGATATATGATGGCCTAAGCATGTATCACGCATGGCACAAAACTGACTGGCCTTTGATGTCTAGCATGGTGCACTTTTAAGTGGATAGGAATCGATGGTCCTCGACCATCTCCTAAATCTCTCATGTGCTGGCTCTACATTGCCATACACTAGTAAACCGCTTCAGCTGGTGGGCTAAACTCATGTGAGAGGATGGTGTTAACACAACACCACTGGGCAAAGGACTGCTTCAATACAGCTCACAAGCTAGGATGGAAGGATTCCTCAAATGAACTACAGTGGCCAGATGCTTGTGACCAAGGTGAGCCACTTAGTGAAAGGACATCAGCTCTGGTCTAACCTGGAGAAAGATAGACTCTGTTGGGATAAAATGCCCAAGACATGCCAAATGATAAGCACACCAAAAAACAACCTTATATCAGATCAGTCACAGCCCAGGTTACCATACACAACTGATGACAGAGACTGTTGGAAAGCTCAGCATGTCAGCACCCCTTCTAGGATTAAGGAGAAGAGAAGAAGTATCTTGCTACTTCTCTACCATTTTTGGAGTTTTGCTGCTCAGTTTAAATAATTTGCATTGCTACTGCTTACCAAGTAGGTAAAGGAAGTAAATGACCAGTATCTAATTATAGAAATTATAGCATAATATTCTAAGCAAGAAGAAATCACTAAGCTTCAATGGTAAGATGAGAGAGTGTATAGTTGTTCAAACGAATTCCATGCCTCCTATCAGCATGGTTAAGGCTGAACTCCATGAGAACATCTCACTGCACCTTCTTGGTCTCACATTTTCCACTGGCCTGAGGTGGAACAACTACATTGAATCAATAGCTGCTTCTACAGCAAGGAAAATTGTGTTGCACCAGAAGGTTTTTCTTGCCTGAGTCCACTCTTCACATCTACAAATCTACCGTTGATCCATGCATGGAATAAGGTTCAATGTGATCAGTCCTTAGGGTCTTGACTTCAGTAACTTTTTTTACCAACATAATGTGACTTCCCACTGTCTTTTCTATAAATATTTTCATGGCATCTGCTCTGACGAGCTATTTTTAATGGTGCCCTGACTGCATGAATTTTCAGCATCCTACTAAGTTGGCATCTTGGTCCCACTCTTTTAATGTTGAAACAGTTAAAATTAAACACCTTTTCTACTCTAAGAGTTTCTTCTCTTGCACTTCCCAATTGTGGAACTCCCTTCCTCTTACTTGCTTCCCTGATAACTATAATCTTCAAAAATTTAAATGTAATGTCAATCAACATCTTATGTTGTCTTGATCCCTGTTTTTATTATCCTCCTCCATTCCTCTCTTTATCCTTTCCTCGCCCCCCCACCTCACTATACCCAGTCTTTTCCCTTACTTTCATTCTCTTTACCCTCTTGTGTACCAATGGCACTCCCGCCTTGCTTGGGGTGAAATGTTTCAAAAAAAAAAAAGTGTGACCTATAAATTTGAGACACCAAAATCAAGCAAGTACAACACTTTAAATATCTAGGAAGTGTTTGAACAGAGTCCAAAAAATGAAGGCACATTGGAATAGCGAAAAATGTCTTCAAAAACTAACATTATCATTGTAAAAAAAAATATAAGATTAAAACTTTCATATGTAAAAGTATCATTTTTTCACTTCTGGATATCATTAATTAGTCAGCATTGGGGCATGTGGTTTTGGGAAACATTCTTTAAACATTGATCCTCTTCTCATGAGAATTAAGAGACTCTTTCTCATTGCTCTTGGGTGGGGTGCTTATATAATTTCCTGTTACCTGGTTGTCCAGCATGTGTATATCCTAAGCTCAGCTAGGTCAACCACCTGTTTATATGCCAAGGCAGCTGCTGATTCTGCACCTGGTAGCTATAAGTCAACTTTCTAATTCACCTGAACCTTTTGATGCTTAGGTATGACACTGGCTATAAAAGCTTACTCTAGTATCTCTTAGGGTGATCTCTAGTGACCATATTACGGAATTTGAATGTTCCATTTTTTGATCAAATAGTGACTTGGGATGAGAAATGGATCCTTTATGACAATTGTAAATGATCAGCTTAATAACTTGTAATGATGAAGCACTCAAGTACTTTCCAAAACCAAAATTGCACCAGCAGAAGATTATGGTGACGGTATCATGATCTGCCATTGGCATTATGCATTATGGCTTTCTGGAATCTAACCAGAGCATCACTGCTGAAGCTACATGTCAGCAACTGGATGATATACCCATTCAGTTAAGCAAAAATGCAACCATCACTGGTTAATTAACAGTGTACATTATTTTCATTATTCAGACTATTGTCCTCATCTTTGTCGCCATTGTCACAATGTTTCAGCTGTTGTACACTCCGGCCTTCTTCAGGTGGTTGGAATGTCGAACTGAACCCTTTATCTTGCTCCTTGGGGTAGACTGTTCTAGTTCCACGTGCCATATTTGATGGATGTTAGTTATCAGTAATCTCCTGTTAATTTCTCTCTGAAAGTTCTCCACTGCCTTAACCGGGTATTAAACTCACACTCTTTGGGTCCTGTCACCGGATCTAACCAACGCCTTTATCCACTGTGCCATGTGTCCTTGAAATATAGACAAACTCTAATTAACAGTGCTTGGCCACATGTTGCCAGGATGATACAGCAGAAGCTCACCAACTCAGCATATGAGACTTTGCCACATCTTGAGAATTTTTTTAAACTGGAAGACATACAGAAGCTACATTCAAAGATTTGTTAGCATCCTAACTTTAATAGTCACTCGATAACAGAAATGTATAGATGCTCCAAGTTCCTATTTTGACTGATTTAAACACTGTTTAAAATACATTAATTCCAGAATAAAAGAACTAATATAGAACTATTACCACATTAGCATCAGATCAACTCCTCTTAGAATAAAAGTTCCTTATTGATATTAAATTTGATTTAAAATTTTGCTATTTTCTGGCATGAACCATATACTACACACTGGAAGATAGAATATGAGCCTGATATATATTTGTAGATAAAAATAAGCAAGGGAAAAGGAAACAAATATATATTATGATTATTATTATTTGTGTGTTATGTTTCCTGTTTTGTATTCTGTAGAGCCGGGTCCAAACTATGGTCTTTATGCCCTATAGGAGAATTGTCATTTAATTGATTGCACTTTTCTTAGTAAATGGGATATTCTTAGTAGAGTGATTTTCTGGGTAACTTGTATGTTGATGTTACCTATGACACTTTTAGTAAAATTGTCCATTCCTTTTCTCATGAGGCTCAGAGATTCGATTACTATTGATACAGTCTCAGTTTTCGTTGGCCACAATCTGTTAATCTTGATCTTCAGGTCCTTGTATTTGGACAATTTCTCGATAATTTTTATGAAGGTGTTTCTCTCAGATGGTACTGCTATGCCAATAAATATACACTTTCTGAATTTCTTGTCTTTTGTGATAATTCCAGGTCTTTTAGTTTTTATTTCCCTGTCAGTTTGAAATGGCATGTTGCAGAAGATAGTTACATCATTATTTTGGGTAACTGTTTCTGGTTAGTGCTCATACCATCTCTCAGTGGTTTCGATTTTGTGCTTCTTGCATATCTTCCAGTGCACATATGTTGCTAATTTGTTATGTCTGAGGGTATATTCTTTTTTTTGCCAGTTCCAGACATCCTGAGATAATATGATCGACAGTTTCATCATATTTTCTGCAGATTCTACACTTCGGGTTAGTTAGTTCCATCCTTGATTATATGATATTATTATTATTATTACTTGTATGATTCCTATTATAAGAACTGTTACCATAATGTTTAGCTACTACCACCTCAGTAATTGTCATTAACATCATTATAAGTTCTCAAAAATTTTTCTTATTAATTATTGGATCAGGTTATTTTTTTTTTTTGCTTCCAACGTTTTCTTTCTTTTGGTTGAATTCATTTTCCGCACCTTGACAACAAAGAAGAAGAAAGATAATGCCCAGAGGCATGAATAGACTGACATTGCATAGGTTCATACATCTGTTCAAAGTTTGAATGAACTTATTGATATTTACATTGCAACACTTGCGAAAGCGAACATTGCTTTCATGAACAAGCCAAAACGTTCAAGTACATACTTTGAGAGCATTTATTAGTTTTATTATTGGTTCAACTGCTTGAGCAGATACCAAGCTTCTATGCTGCAGGAGTCCATGAATTATTTGAAGGTATATTGCAGAGGAAAGATAGCATCAGATTTTCAGTGGGAAGGAAGGGAGTTGAAGATTAGAATGGGAAAGAAGAAGGAAGAAAGAAAAGTATGAAGAGATAAAGAGAAAAGAACACAAGATAAAGAATGGATTGAAATAGAGAGTGGGGGAAAAAGGAGAAAAGAGAGGGAGTGATGTAGGAGAAAGAATATGAGAGGGAGAAAGTGAGATAAAGGAAAGATCAAAAGGGATATAGGAGATAAGGGATTCATGGGGAGTGGAGTGTAGAGATAAGGGAGGGGGGAATAGAAACAAGTGGTAATGGGGAGAAGAAATATGAGATAAGTGGGGATGTTGGGAAGAAAAGAGAGAAAAATGGAGATGAAGAGAAGAAAAAAAAGGTTCAGAGGTTGGGAAGAATAGAGAAAAATAGAGATGGTGGAAAGAGAAAATGGAGAGAAGAAAAGCGAGGTAAGTGGCAATATTAGGAAGAAAAGTCGTGTGGAGGGAAGAAAAGAGAAAAGTAGAGTTCATGGGAAGAGAGAAAACTGAAAATGGTCATCATAAGTGAGGTAAGCTGAGATGTTGGGAAGAAAAGAGAGAAAAGTAGAGATGGTGGGAGGATAGAAAAGTGTAAAGGGGTGGGAGAGAAAAGCAAAGATAAGCAGGGATGGTAGGAAAAAGTAAGGTAAGCGATGACGGGGGAAGAAAAGAGAGGTAAGTTGAAATGGGAAAGCAAAGAGAGAGATTTAGAGATAATAGATTAGAAAAGAAAGAGAGAGGTAGAGATGTGGAGAAGAGCAGAGAGATGACAAGCAAAAAGAGACAGGTTGGGAAGAAGGTAAGAAAGATAAGAGAAGATGAGGAACAGAAGGGAGATAAGTCGAGATGAAGGAAGAAAAGAGAGATAGATGGACATAATGGAAGAGAAAGGTAAGCTGAAGTAGGGAAAGAGAGATGAGTAGAGATAGGATGAAGGAAAGAGTTTAGATAAGTAAAGAGAGACAATCAATAATAGTGGGATGGAAAGAGAATAAGAAGGTGGATAAAAGATAGTTGGTGGTAGAAGAAGAGAAGGGAGATACTTGAATTGGAAAAATGAGAGACACTTGAATACAATCTTTAGGCTATTTGAAACTTCCGACTCAGAGTTTCATGCACAATGCAATCTTCAGGTACAAAGTAGAGACTTAGCATAATTTAAATTTTATTAAACATATCTGACTAACACAATGCTGGTGCAATGTATATATTATATGGGGATTACTGGTTATTTATATTTAAAATAAATGGGGATTTCATGTTTTTAAAATAACATTAATCTAATATGAATATAAATGGCATCTATCTTAAATAAAAAATAAAAAAAAATAAAAAACAGTAATCCTGTATAATATATGGACTACACCAACACTGTTTAAACCAAATATTTTTTATTAAAATTTAAATTATGTATCAGTCAGTCTCTACTCAACACCCGAAGATTAAGAGCCCAAGTTGTGCTACTGGTGAGGAATAATATGTATATTTATTAATATATATATATATATATATATATATATATATATATATATATATTAAATATATATATATATATATATATATATATATATATATATATATATATATCATCAAATATAACAACACCTGCAAAATCAAAGCTACAAAGAACCAAAATAATTTACAAGTTCAATGCCCTTAAGGAACTGTGTTCCTGATCAAACCAAAATAATTACATTGGTCAAACTACTACATGCCTATCTAGACAACTTACATTACACCTACCTGACCATAGCTCCATTAGGACTCATTTAAACACACACAAACACCTATCAGACACCATTTGAAACATACTAGTACAAAATATATGTATAACCTCATCCACATGTAAAAATAGATTAAAAATTATGGAAGCTTTAATAATAAAAAAGGAAAAGCCATCACTCAATAACATTAACTATGAACATGACCACAATGTGCTGACTGTGTTCAGAAAATAAAACATTCTTATAACACATACATAAAAATGCCCAAATATTTAGTTAAAAATAAAAAAATAAAAATTGCCCTTGATAATGGCTAAAGGATATCTGAAAGCTCTTGAATATGCAAAATTTTGGACAATTTTTACACACTTTGTGTCCAGAAAAGAAAACATTTGTATGAACACAAGAAAAAAAAAATTAAATAAAAAGCTCAATCACGGTACCTTGTCAGTGATCTTTAACAAAATATATGTGTATATATATATATATATATATATATATATATATATATATATATTTAAAGAAAACACTGATTAAAATAAATAAATATATAAGATAAAAATAAAAATAAAATAAAAAATAAAGATAAATAAAAACAAGCAAAATAATCTAACCCAAGTAAATAAATAAAGAAACAACTTCCGACAAAACAACAACAAAATAGACTACCCACAATGCACCACTGAACCATATATGTGAATAGCCAAGAAAAAAAACTGCACTTGTGGCCTGACGATTGCATTTAGCATGAAACAGCCTGTCGCCTCTAAGTGTTGTCTTCAATGTTCACTTTTATATATCAGGTCATCCCATAAGTTCTGTCCGAATTTTAACTTTTTGTTAAAATGAACAAAATTTAAAGAGTATTTTATAATGTCTAATGGAGATGAACATTATTTTTATGTTTAGATGCATTTAAACTGATCAAATTTTATTTCAGAGAACAATAAAATTAAATTTTGTTTCATTAAAACCCTGCTAACATGGAAGTACCCAAGAATTATTTGAGGCACATAATGCTTTATAAGTTCAAGAAAGGAAACTCAGCAGCCGAACCTGCTAGAAACATTCACTCAGTTTATTGAGAGGAATGTGTGAATGAAAGAACTTGCAGAAGATGGTTTGCGAAATTCAGAGGTGGAGATTTCACCCTTGAAGATGAAGATCGAACCGGACGTCCAGTTGAGTTTGATGAAAAGCTTCTTGAAGAAAATCCTGCTTTATCAATTGAGGAATTGGCAGTGGTTCTCAGTTCAAACCATACAACTGTTCATCATCATCTTCAACAACTTGGAAAAGTTCCTAAACTTGGAAAATGGGTGCCTCATGAATTGTCTGAAAACAACCTCAAATTTTGAGTTGACATCTGCTCTCCTCTCCATTCTCGCCAACTTGTTTCACCTTTTTTGGATAGACTTGTGACTGACGACGAAAAATGGATCTTTTATTGAAATGTTAAGCATCGTAGACAGTGGCTTGGTAAAGGGAAAGGACCCCAGCCACAGCTGGGAAGGGAACTTCATGGGCAAAAGGTTCTTCTTTCAATCTGGTGGGATTGCCAAGGAATAATCCGTTTTGAATTCTTACCACCTAATGCAACAATTAATGCTCAAATATACTGTCAGCAATTAGAAGGTTTGAACCAAGCTTTGAGGAAAAAAAGACCTGCTCTAGTGAATTGAAAAGAGGTGATGTTTCAACAGTATTAAATAACATTTACCGGCCTGAATGTCTGAGAAATTTTCACAGAAACATTCAGGCCGGGTAAATGTTGTTTAATACTGTTTATTATAAACAGAGCATTTACTTAAATATTTGTATCTATAAAAAGAATGTATAAACATAAAAATGTCTTAAAAACAATTGTTGGACTTTGTCCATTTCATAAACCAATAATGTTTTGCAGCAATTTTTAACATTGACTTGAGAAAAAGGTTAGATAATTATAACACATTCAACATTATGGATAAAAATAGGGAAGTGTTTTTTCAAGACTTACCAAATATGTATTATTTGTAAGATGTGTTTACGTGCTTCTTACAGTAATTTCTTGATTAGCAATGAATTCATACCAGGGCTGGTGCAAGAGTCTTGTGCTCCCCACCAATTTATAATACCCCCCCACACCCAAATCTGATATGGGGCCCGCTCACTATACTATGTCTCAATTTTCACAAGGTAGCATTCATATTTTATTGTAACCTAATTATGTACAATAATGTATCATATACAATATAAATGAACAATTCAACAAGAAAAATTGAAAATAAATAAAATGTATCTAAATACAAATTAGAGACATGTCTTAATAGATCATTCCATCTTAAATAAATCAACAATGTTCTGTGGCAATTGTTAATATCAACTTGAGTTTTTTCTAGTTAAAATGTTAAATAATTTTATAACATTCAACATTGTGGATAAAAAATAGTGAATTTCATAGTTTTTTTTTTTTTTTCGAGACTTAGCATGATCAAAACAAATTCATCGATTTGGCCAAAACCTCCCACCAGAATAACATAAAAAAAACAATTTTTCATCCTTTAATAGTCAGTTGTGCTTAGTTTAATTTGTAACATTTATAAAGGTAGGTAGAAAAAAAGCAAATGTTAATAAGATAGCAAGGGTCACAAAGTACTGCCTGAGGCCCCAAATAAGAAATACATTCATGGGTTTCAGTGGGTAGTACACACAGGCCCTGCACATACTGGTGGGCTTGAGAAAACTTAATAAAGTAAATATGGTCTCTGTCAGGATACACACCCATGCTTTTACCGCTTAGCCATGAAGAGCTTCCCAATAAAAGCAAGTTTCTATTTTGTCTTTAAAGCAAACTGACACATTCAGATTTTTCTCAAAAGGCATATTTGATCAGTTTGCATCCAAAATGTAAACAAAACAATTTTTAAATAATTAATAGATTTTATTTGTTTAATCTGACATATTTTTATAAGTTCAGATGTTATTTTTAGTATTGACATGTAGCCATTTTTTACATGTGGATGAAGCTATATATTTTCCACAAGTATGCTACAGATGGAGTTTGGTAGGCTTCCGTGCATTTGATTTAGAGTGTGCAATATGTAATGTAAGTCTTCTTGATAAGTACGTATTCATGAATTTGTTTTGATCAAGAACCCATTTCCTTAAGGGACATGTAATTTCATAAATAATATTGATCCTCTGTAATTTGATTGAAAATAATGAAAGCAGTAATAAGAAAAAAGAAAAAACAACATTCAATACTATCAAGTGTGAACATGGCCATAACTTGCTGACTGTGTTTGGAAAATAAAAGACATTTCCATCACTACAGATACTCATACATAAAAATCTACATATTCAACTAAAAATAAAAAACAATTTAAAATATCTTTTATAATGGCTAATGGAATAGCTGAAAGCACCCTGGTATATAGAGCATTTGGACAGTTTTTATGCACTTTATGTCCAGAAATGAAAACACTTATACAAACCCAAGAAAAATTGAATAAAAACCTTAATGTCAGTCATCATTAATAAAACATTTATAAGAGGGGTTGCTGTCCAAATACACTATTGTGTATATATATATATATATATATATATATATATTCAAACAGGTTTGTTTAAATAATTTAGACATATCATGTCAAATAGTTTTTGTTGTGATCTTTTCAAGTTCATGGATTAATTTTTTGGTAGGTTTAGAAAATTGAGTAAGAAAAATACCAAAATTTTCTTTCAAATAATTTTTATTTTCCCAAGTACTTTCAATCTCATCTGAGA